TTCGTGTTACAGAGCAATCGAAAATCGCATCAATGGTATTTTTTTTTCATTTTTAAGTTGAATGGTTTTTTTTTTTGTTTTGCTAAACTTCAGTTGAATGAGTTTTTTTTTTATTCTAACGTCCAATTTATCACAAATTATTTTGAATATATAACATAATAATTTATAATAATATTATTTAAAAAAAAACATGGTGTCCGGCTAGTCGGAACGGTCGGACCGGTCACGACCTAAGTCGGGGCCGGACGTTATTTGGGCCGTCCGGTTTCGGCGGCCGGACAACAATAATTTATTTTTTTTGTACTTTTTGGAAAAAAATGCCAAAGGTAAAAATGTCCAAAGGGGGGCGGTAAATAGTAATAGGAGGGCGGTGAATAGTAATGCCCTTAAGTTATGGATCCGTGGCCTCATAAGGGAGCCACACGTTGGTTCCATATAGAGTTTCTGGTAAGCTGTTAATTGGTAAAGTATAACTTTTAAATCGTTTATCATCAACAAAAAGATTTTAATGATATATGATAGATTGACATGTGATCTACATGAATGAATGTATCATATCACTATTGAGTTCTACATTAATAGTTTGTTTTTATTCTAAGTACTCATATTTTGAGTTCGTCCTACATGCATTTTAGGAATTTTTTTAAAACCATATATTAAATTTATGTCAATATACAATTCGTTATCTGACTAAAAATAAATCGTGAGTGTTAATATTCACTTAGAATGTTTAATTATATGTTATGAGGTCTTATTATTTTCTTTATAAAAAAAATTAAATTAAATTAAATTGGATTTATATTAAATTAAACATTAATTGGATTAAGATTAATTAATTAATTGGGCCACAGTAATCCAACTTTAAATATCTCATCATATTTTTGTACTCTTTAACGAACTTTAGAAAAAAGCAATTTTTTTTGCTCTCTTCTCCACAGGAAAAAAACCCAATTTCGCCCAAGAAACCCTCGTCTTGCTCTTCACCGCCCCTCCTACACCTTTAAGCTTGCCGCCCCGCCGCTGGAATTGGAGCTCGTCTATTCGGGGCTGAGGACATTTCCGTCTCCTCCGGGCTTTGTGGGAGGTTGGGTTGGAGAGCTCTCGCCCCCGCTGGGTTCGAGTTGCTTCGCCACCTAGTCATCCCCGGCCATGGACGAGACCGTCGGCAGCAAGAGTTCAGTCCCAAGCCTCGAGGAGGTACTGACCATTGTTCCGCCGAGAGTCTTGTTGTTCATGTTTTGGGTCCTTTGTTGCGGCTTGCCGTCCAATTTTGATCCCTCTTTCGAGTACTCCGGCGAGGCAAGTTGGTGTCATCACGGCGGCTTCCTCTCCTCCCCCAAGCGTGGATGGTTTTTTGGAGTCTAGATCTGAAACGATAGCAATCTCTACTTCAGATCCGTCTAGGCGGCACGAGTAGCCGCAGTTTTCGAGCTTGAGGTTCCGGTTTGTGGTTTTGTTGTATCTCCTTGCTAGTGGATGTGGATCGTATGTGGTCCCGGGTGATTAGGCATCGAGTCTGTTAGGTGTAGGGGAGGTTCTAGTTTATTTGTACATTAGGTGTGTGTTTTTCTCTGTAAGCTTTTTGTGTGTCAGTCCAGCTTGTCTGGTTTATCTCCTTTATGGAGTTTTCTTTCCCTTTGTGGAATTTTGTTTTGGGTTGCGGTTAGTGCTGTTAAACTAAACGAGCCTGGCTCGGCTCGGCTCGAGTTCGTGCCTTAACGAGCCGAGCTTGAGCTCATTTATAGCTCGTTTGGCACTTTGGCTAACAGCTCGGCTCGATAAAACTCGTTAAGGCTCGAAAATTGAAAATCTATATAATTTTTATAGTTCGGCTCGTTAAAGCTCGAGCTCGGCTCGTTAAGGCTCGAGCTCAAGGCCTTAACGAGCTGAGCTCGAGCTCGATTTCAGGCTCGTTTATTTAACGAGCCGAGTCAAGCTCAGCTTGTTAGAGGCTCGAGCTCGAGCTCGATCTCGGCTCGGCTCATTTACAGCCCAAGTTGCGGTTGCCTCCTTGTTGGAGTTGTACTTCTTGGATTCCTCCGAAAGTTCAAGAGAGTAGGTTTAGTTATCTGGTTCTTTGGTGTCACATCGCCTCTGTACTCTTTTTGAGTTTTCTAGTAATATATTTGCTTCTCCATTTTCGATCTTTCCTCCTCACTGCTGCTCCGCTCCCCCGTGGAGCCAACCGACACTAGGGCGCACATTATCTTTGTCCGTCATGCTCCAGACATGTATCGGTGTGGCGCTTGTCCCGTAAANATTCCCAACTTATTTATTGGCGATTGATCGTTTACTAGACATGGCCAAGGGTCGAATCGGCCCGGATCAACCGATTTTTGAACCGATCCCTTACCCCTTAAGGGCTGGTTCAAGGTCGTGTTTTTCTCCTTTTGGACCCGTCAGGTCGGTCTCGGGTCGTAGTTGTTTTTTTATTTTTTATTACTTTTACTTTTTATTTTATAAATCTGAACCGCCAGGTCAAGCAGGTTCAATATAGCTGGGCCGGATTTGGGCCCAGCATTTGAGGCGGGCCGGGTCCTGAACCGGCCCGGCCTTTGAACACGTCTACGTGTACCGTAAAAATAGTGTTGCATGAATGTTATAGTCGGGGAAAAGAATTACAAACTCAGTTATTATTCATGTGACTGAGGTCTTATCAAAGAGTTATAGCCGATTATAGATTCTCTACTTATTCATCGAAAAAGATTAATTGGTGTTTGATCGTGTACCCTAAAAATAGGGTTGCATGGATATTACAGTTGAGGACAAATTACAAACAACTGTAAACTTTATGTTATTATTCATGTAATCTAGGTCTTATCGAAAGTTATAGCCGAATTTTCATTGTAGAGAAGAAAATTTAAAAATTCTACTATACGCGTGCCTATGATGAGTTTACACGTCAAAATTTCAACATCATCAGAGCTCCAAATCGGTTTTAATCGCTAGTCAATTTAACTAAATTTATGTTCGTGGTCTTAACAAAAGCGAATTGTTCTGTTAGAATCGAAATTATATTTGTAATCGGGTTGTGGCTCGATCCCTCGACTTCCACCCATGTTGGCGGTTCGCGCTTGGATGCGTGTGTCAGTAAAAAGAGTGCTTTATTGCAGATGAGTAGGTTGCGACTTACCCGAGTTCAAAACCGAACGAAGTTATAAGAATGCACAAAGCAAATTCTCCAATCTATTAATCCATTAGATACACAAGTCCTCATATGAAAATCGATTTAATATCTTGCAAATAACATAGGCCAATTAGCCACACGATAATTGTGATCGAAAGTGATGGGAATGTACCTTAGGATATGCCGATTGAAGGATTTCGAATAGATAAAAAAAACCACACTTCCATCCTTTTCGAATTGGCATCTCCTTTCCACAACTTTTGTCCACATTTTACCAACAAAGCCATGGACCACGGCATGGAAGGATAAAAATCCAAGGTACAATTAACCGAGCACGCGAAGAAGTCTCCATTGGGATATACCTCGGCATAAACCTTCAACCCTATCCATTACTTCATTCCATATACGTGCAAGCCATGTAAAGCGTATTTATATCTATATATAACGAAAGTCGATGTTTCATGTCACTCAGCAACTGTAAAATTAATTAAGTGAACCATTCATAGGGCAGCTCTTATTTGGCATACAATAAATTGTGAGGCTTTCGAATATAATATCGTGTCTCGTTTTCATGACACGCCAAAGGAGAGTTGCCCTGTGAGTGATTTAGCTTAACATGCGGCATTTTTCTTGATGCACTACTTCATTGTGGATTTGTTATCATCCTTTGGGTTCTTTCTTTTTCGTTATCGTTATTAATTTGTGATCACTTTGCACCACAAAACTGTATAACTGATCTCCAAAATTGAGTTTTCTCTTAACATCCTAACTATACAGTCTAAATTTTTCATTTGAAGAGGTATTCGGACATCAATTTCTGATTAGGACAGTGAGATTCTCCAGATTTATTTTTCAATCCAGACTTAGTCATACATTTTTGGCTTTAAAACAAACACCATTTTTTGTAATTTAGCCACAGGTTACAAAACGAAATGCGTCCTTTAATTTGTGTCTTCTGTGTATAAGTTTACCCCTTAATATGAGACATGCATGTCTTGTCAAATACAAAGCTTAGCTCTTTTAGCATTACAAACAGGTACTTTACTTTTGGAAAATACTAGAAATATATTTTTTTTAATCTTAGGGGTAATATCTATCATTATCCCGACAATTTCTGAACAATGGAACCAGGGGCGTAGCCAGAAAAAAATTTAACCCGGGGCTGCATACTATTGTACCTATTATTGGAACCGAGAACACACAGTCATGGGCCGGGCCGGTCCGCCGGTTCAGCCCGAACAGCACAAACCGGCCCGTGATCTTGGCTAGTAAATATTTTATAGTTCATACATTTCGAAACCGACTGTTTCGGTTTCAAAATGGAATTGAAATCGAAGGTTCGGCGTTTAAAAAAAATTATTATTATTTAATTATTTTTTAATTTTTTTAATGAACCGGATGGTCAAGAACCGACAACCAATAAACTGGCCTGTGCATATGTTCGGTTCAGGGTCCCTCCAACCCCGCCAGTGCATAATTGAATCATGTTTGCATACGTCTTAAAGGCTAGTCGAGCTTGTAATTAATTCACTCTCAATGCTAAGAAATTTTAAGAAGGCTAAATCACACAAACAGAACAACACATGTTAACAATATATAGTTACCAATTTCTTTGAAATATCTTTAATTATGAATTTCTGATTGCTCAAGCTATGTACCAAATCTCTATAAAAATGGAGTCTACACTGTAACTTATCTCTTTGAATTACAACAATATAAAAACCAAAACAAAAAATAAATATCTTGAGTAAATTAATTCCTCCAAGTTTTTCTTAGTATTTTTATCAAACAAGTGGTGTGCATAAATTAAAACTATTATATTTCAAGTTTTTTCTTCACAAACCAAATCTTGGACATTATAACACAAATATTAATGATGTAGACAATAAAATTATTTATTTCAAACTACACATGTAATGATCAATTAGCATTGTAAAAAAATAAAATAAAATAGAATAAAACACATACCTTAAATCCAAGCTTGGAGCCTTCAGCCTTAGAAGTTGCTGCAGCCCTTGGGAGGGGAGGCGAGCTGCGGGAAGGTGTTGGCGGCGAATACGGGCAGAGGTGGAAGGTGGCCGACGAAATTGATGCGGCGAGTGGTCGGGAGCTTGAAGGCTGAAGCTGCTTGCGTTGGGGTTTGGAGGTGATAATTTGATGAAGATGATGTATTGGGGCTAATTTTGGTGGACTACGTATAAATTAGATGGTTTTATAACTAGTTGGGCCTATTAAAATCAATAGACTTAACATTAAATGAGTTTGTTTTCTAAATTTTGGGTCTGTTTGTGGGCTTTTTAGAACTTTGATAGGGGCTAGCTATAAAATCTGGGTAGGG